GTCAGGGGTTCGAATCCCGGATCGATGCCCGCCTAGGCCAACCAAGCCTTCCATCCCTTCGGGGTCGGTGAATTGGTACCAGACTCGTCTGGGAGGATAAAAGCACTGACTTGTACATCGGCTGGCCACCGCAAGTCGTTGTATAGGCCACATTCGCACTCANTACGCCACTACGATTCTGAATGGAAGTCGAGTGCGGGGGCGCATCCCTCAGACGGGATTGATTAACGCCAAAAACTTTATCCTTTATCCTTTTATCACATTACGAGGTCTTCTCTCGTGTGAATGTTTTTTCAGCTTAAGAGTTGGTGGGTCACCGGCGTCGCTAGCAGCTAGGAATCATTTAGCAGCTGAAGTTCGTGGCTTTTTCTCCATGCAGCTGTAGGAAACAATTTTTCTAAACAGGGTATTCCTGCTGCCGATTATTGATCTAGATCGGTTCGACCAATCGATTTCAGCGTTTTACAGTTTCCAAACAGACCCCGAAGGGTACATGCAAAACCTAAGCGGCATCTCTAACGCGGCCTGCGCACTGGCTTAGTAGTTAGCGGTCAACCCAATTTATATCCTGGTGTCGCGTACGGATACATTTGCGAGTCTTACCCGGCACTCCATCGGTGAGTGAGTCATCAACATTTCCTCTGCTGACTAAGCGGCGGGCGCTAGTGTTGAAGTAGCCTTTGCCCCCTCTCAGCATCTCAAAGCCCGTTCTTTTGTGGTTTATTGACACACTCTCGCATTGACCCCAGATCAAATAGACGCAGTTGGTATCGGCGCAAGTTGAGTCCCTTTAAACCACATGGATCGCCTTTGACACGGGAAAGGCACTAGTGAGCGCTTTCTGGCCCCTCCCTCCAAAACCCCAACACCACCGTCGACGAGCACGCTGTTATCTCCTGAACAGCTGTGGTTGGTAACCTTACGCCCACTCCCGTAGATCTCAATGAGGTACTTCTTACTCTCGGCGACTCCTTTGAGATCAGCTATCGGATCGGAAGAGAGTTCAGAGGTATGCGAGTGCTTCAAGTGATGCCGAACTAAACTGGTGTGCAAAACTTAGGGACGGAAGCAACTTTCGATCACTGAACCTCTGTCAGACGACAGAGGTCGATGAAATTTATACCGTGCCAATAGAGGATCATTCCGGTATTGCACAGGAAGTAACTGTTAGAAAATCGAAATAGGACTAGCAAATAAGGCATTTTTATTGAAAGGTATCGATTACACATAGTTCCTCACATCTTATCTTAGTACTTCAAAGAAAGCGACGCGGTTCCTAATAGGGTATGTGATCACCACGGACAGCAGTATATGCTCTGCAATGCAATCCCATACTTTCTACGAGTTTGGAAATGAGTTATTGTGGTAGGGCATCCCACTCCTCTATCAGCGCAACTGACAATTACTGGATGGTCAGTGGTGCGTTTGGACGTGCTGTAATGCCTCTACCCAGTGCATCCTACACGCGCTTTATGGGTTTCAGGTCGGGGGCACGGACAGGCCACTCCATTCGCTGGAAAACCTCTTGTGTAAGGAGCTCCTCCACCTGAGATGTTCGATGCGGTCGCGCATTGT